ACAAGATACTTCGTGAGACTTTTTGATTCAGATGTGTCTCCAGAATTTGATATATTTTTTATTGCGGAAACAATAGGGCTCTGCCCTTCATCACCTCCATTAATTATTGCAGAGCAAGCCGTTAGGCGATTCTTCGAATCATGTCCCTTTGGGACTACAGGTTTTGATATAGCCTCCAATTTCAGGTGATCGAGTTCACTTCTCACACGCTCCAATTCATCTTCTATTTGTTTAAACTCACCCATTTTAGATTTAATGGATAAATTCTCAGATTCTGTTTTTGATAAGTTTTCCTGAATCGAAAATGCGTCTTTTTGGGCTGATGCTAACTTACCCTCCAATATCTTAATCATAGCCTGGAGTGATTTTATTTCTTTTAATTGGATATCATACCTGGCTTTATACTCATCACGGGAAATCTGTGATCGGGTAATCTGGGATATAAGGTTAGTATTGGCCACTTTCAATCGTTTAACCTCTTTAATAAGTTGACAACAATGCTTAAAAGGTTTCTCTTTATCTTTATTGGTTTGATTTAGATCAAGTTGTAATTGTGCTTTATCCTGTTTAATATTTTTACTAAACTCTGAATATACCTTCCGGTAGTTTTTAAAATCCTCAATAAGTTCAGAATTGGTTATACAACTATCACGTAAAGCTTCTTCGAGTTCCACTTCTCTAGTACTCCCAAGTCGATATCCTTTTGGTGAGTTGATATCTCGCATTGTACGTACATTGGTCATAATTATTTGATCCAATATGTATTGATATTTACTAATTCTATTTTTAAAAAAGAATCAATATGTATCAATATGTATCAATACGTATTAATATGTATCAATGTATTATTGTATCATTGTATATATTGGAATCAATACGTTTTGAAAAATATTGATACTTTTTTTTCTAATATATCAATCTTAAAATGATTACTCATATTCATCAAAAATTTTATCGGTCCAATGCGACTCGATTATCTAAATCTGATATTAAAGAAATTAGAGAATCACGGGGGAAAGTACCAAGTGCATCAAAGAGAATGGCAAAAAAATTTCATATTGGTACTCGTCGTGTTTATGAAATATGGGAACATAATGAGCGTCTTCAACAGGGTCTTGATAATTGGGACGATTCTCCACCTTCTGATTCGAATAATGAAGCATGTACTAAATCTGTTAAAAATATAAAATCCAGGTCTAAGCTTATTCATAATTCTGATCAATCTTCCATTAGTAATGGTTCAATCGATAAGGTAAATAAAATATTAGAATCTATATCACCTGAAATTTCGCAAAAAACTGAAGATCCTTTAGAACTCTTTAAAAGAACGCAAAAAGATGCTAAAAAAAGTAGAGCAATTGCGTGTGCTGATATTTTTAAACTATCTACTCTTAATTCGAAAGTATAGAATCGATTTCTTCTTTATACTGATTACGCAAATCATTATAATAACCAATAAATTCTGAATTGGTTTGAACACTAGTAAATAGTGCTTTTTCAAGTTTCTTTATATGGATAGTCAAATTTTCACAATTCACGCATTTTTTTTTTATTGTGGGACAATGGCTCTTCGAGCCTACCTCTGACATCTGTAATTTTTCTGTATTAAATGCATTGCGTAATTCTTTGCGAGTAGAAAGAGGAATTGTAATAGTCTTTCCATTGTGTGTAGCTGTGAATTCTCCTTTCACTATCGGATCCCATCCAACACGATGTTGCCATTTTGTACCAAGTATCATTATAGATATGTCTTTTTTATTTCGATCCTTTTTTGTGGGAATTACTGATACTTCATTTTCGAGAACTGTTATAGAATCTTCTTCAGTACCTATGGTTATAGGAACATTATATGATGTACCAATAGATTGGGAATCCCCAACTGCACCAGTAAGTTTGTGAACATGTTTTTTATCTATTTTTATCCCTAAATACTCAGGAATATTACCAGTATATAATGAATCATTTGCACCGGTATCTAGAATTGCATAAGGTATTATTAAGTCACCTATTCTACAAGAAATCGTTGCCACATCATTAGGTTCTTTTATATTGAGAAAATCAATCTCAAAAGGGTTAGGCCAATTTTGTCTTATTTGTGCTCCTTGGTATACTTTAATAGCATGATTTAATGTAATAGAATTGTCAAGTTTTTCTGATTGAGGTGTTTCTTTGTGACTTGAAGAGTTTGGAGTCTGGTCCTTAATAATTTCAATAAGTGGTTGGAAAATAGTTAGATATTTTTTGCAATAATATCCCATACCTTATTTCGTTCTTTGACTGTATACTTTTCACCATAATATGAATCAAACTGATCCTTCATTTTTATAAACAGGTTATTAAGAAATGTATGAAGTTCAATAAGAATCTCCATAGGACAATTAGGTATTAATTCGGATATTATATATTTAAGAGATTCATGAAATACTTCCTGTTCCAAAGTAACGATAGATTTTTTCTTAATAGAAGGTTTCTTTTTTACAGGAATCCGACTTTTTTTTTTGTATTAAAACAGGATTGTATATTATCATTATCATTATCATTATCAGAGGTGATCTCTTCTTCCTCCTCTGAATCTGAGTTATCTTCCAATATCATCACCTCCTCATCATCTGAATTTTCTGGTTCGCTTTGATAAACATTATTAACTTTTTTAAGTTTCTTAACAAGACCAGGACACATATTTTTTCTATGTCCAATTTTTTCACAATTTGAGCATTTATAAGTAACTTTAATAGGCTTCTTTGTCAGCTTTTTTGCAAACTTCTTTACTGGCTTCTTTGTATTATATACTTTTTTTGAAGTTTTGGTACTTACTTCACTATCTTGACCAAAAGGCTCTTTTTTAAAATTATAATTTGCATGTCCTAATCTATTATATAATTCATAATCGATAAATTTTATTAAATCATTAAGATCTCGTGATCCATAATTTGAATAACCTAATCTTTCGGCAATAGTATCCAAATAATCTAATGCCTTATTTTTTTGTGGAAATTGATTTATAGGAATACTATTGTTTTCATTTTCAAAATTACTTGTTGGTCCTCCAGACTCTAACCAAATAATCCTTAATTGCGTAAAGAAGTCATTTACAGTATTTGGATTTGCTATTCTGATTCGTGTTTCTAATCTAGGAGGTACTGTAAATGATCATAAAGATATAGCAATACTTCTGCATCGTCAATACCTAATACATAAGGTCTAATTCTTTTTTCATAAGTATCAATTGTATCTAATGAAGTGAATTTTTCATTCATAAGAGCTTTTAAAGATGCTCGTTGATTTCCAATCATTGTTTCTCGATATTTACCTTGCATCCAGTTATAAACTTTTGCTTCTGTAACAATATTCGCATTAGCATTATAGGGGTTTTGTGCTGGAACTGGAAAAAATCTACCTGTCATTTTACTTTTCATGATATTTGCTCTTTCTGCGGCATTAAAAGCGGCAACACCTAAAGGTCTGGCTGTTTCATTTATAGCTCTAAGTTTTGCATAATAAGTATGTGGTGGTTATTGTCCATCATAATCTGGTAATATAGCCAGTCGTGGTGAAATTGTATGCATAACATCTTGTATGGCAGCCATATTAATTGGATTTGCTAATGGATTATTTTGTAATATAAAAATTTGTTGCCGTAAATTATTAATTATTTGCCTGATATCATGGGTTTTATTTTTCCATTTTTCATACCTTACTATAAGTTGATCTCGCCAATATTCTAATATTGTTCCATTATTATGACATTGTTGTAACTGCTGTTTCAATTTCTGATTTACTCGTTTATTCAGAAGCTGTAATGCAAATTGTTTATGCAATAATGAATTAATACGTCTATCTATTTGAGTTTTAATATAGATAGCATTCAACTTCCAAAAATTGCGAGATTTTTCTTTATCTTTTACATGCTTTTGTAAAGTATCACATTCTTGTATAAGCTGATGATTACGGTTTTGCAAAGTAATACCATCCTGTGTAAGCTGGTTGATATGATCTTGTTGAAGTGTATCAAGCTGTCTATATCTGTTAACATCCTGTTGTAACTGCAATATTTGATCGTCTCGATTATTTCGTTGGGTGATGACATCGTCTATATCCTGATACATAGATTGATAATTATGACGAACAGTATTCAAAGAACTACGGACCCCTTCGATAATTCTGATAGGATTATTTAATGGCGTACTACCTCCTCTAAGATGATTTTCGAGTCGATCCAAGCCTTGATTAATAAGTATAAAAAGATCTATATTTGCCATATTAGTGTCTTGTTTTTCTAAAGTCTGGGTATATAGATCTGGCGAGCTTATTCTTGATTAAATAATTTTTACTATAAATAAGATGAGTAATCCTAGTATTGTTATAGATCCTTTAGAATCTCGAAAATTTGATATATCTATTGATTTACAAAAAATCTATTACCATCCTTCCGGTTATCAAAGAACTAGTAAAAAACTTTATGAAGTTGCACATAATGCCGGTTTTGATTTTACATTAGCTGAAGTTCAAGAATGGCTTGAAAGACAATTATTACACTTAATTCATAAATCTCGACCATGTTTTATTCAGTATGCATCTTTTAATGGAATTCAAAATTTAAATGAAATGCATCAATCTGATCTTACTCCTATGCCTCATGATAAAATTGGAAATCGAATTTTCAAACATAGGGGTGTTATAAAAGATATAGCAACTAGATTTCATAAAAGTTGCGCTTTAACTAATAAGTCTTCTGCATCATTAGCTAAAATGTTTAAAGCAATTTATGATGATCCTAATAATCACCTTACATGGCCAAAAGTTTTAATTGTAGATAAAGGCACTGAATATTTAGGCGAATGTAGAGATTTATTACTTAGTCATGGTGTAAAAATTATACAAGCTAAATCTAAACGTAGTACATCAATAGCTGAACGTGATCATCAAGAATTTGAAAAACATGCCTATATTCGTCAAGATGCTGTAGATTTTATTTTACCATTAACTGAGAGATGTCGAGCATGGGTTAAGGGACTTCGTTTAAATGATGATATTTATAATGATACTCCTACCCGATTAATTCATATGTCACCTAATGAAGCTGTAAAGAGGGCATTAAAAGGCGAAAAAATTATTGCAGATCCATCTGTAAAACATCGAAGACCTATTGGGTTTAATGAACCTCGATTAACCTATAAAGATTCAGTTTTATATTTACTTGAACCTGGAGAATTAGAATTTGGAAAAAGTCGCATAACTGACATGAACTGGTCTCCAAAAATTTATCGTATTAAGGAATTACTAATTCAAAAAAATCAACCAGTATTATACTGGCTTATAGATAAAAATGGGGATGGACCTGAAAGATCGTTTGTGAGAGAACAATTAATGAAAGTTAGAAATGTTGAATATCCCCCGAAATGGGTCCTTAAACAGTATTAAATTATTCTGAAAGAATGAGCTCTACTCTACTCGTCTAAAAGCACATCATCAACAGCTTCCTCAATTTCTGTTTCAGTTATAGGTCGATCTTTTTTGGATAGTTCATAATAAAGATTATATAAATCTTCTATACTGGTAAGTAGCTCCTTTTTACCTTGATACCATTTTCTATATCGTGTCATTCTTTTATTATACGCTTCATCATTTGGAAATAGTGTTATTGCTGTATATTTTATATATTCATCTTGATTTTCTGCATTACGTAAATTTTTTACATATCCAGCATATTCACTAATAAGCTTACTATCTTTTCTATATCGAAGACGAAAGGCTTCTTTTATTATTTTAATTTGTGCTGATTCAATCATTTTCCATGTAATATCAAGCATCGATAACTCTGAGTCCCGCTTATTTACTAAACTTGAACTATTGTCAGTCATACTTTGTATTTCGTTTTATATAATATAAGTTTTATTTAATATGTATTTTATTATCCGACCTTTTCATAAGAAAAAAAAAGATAAATATCTCCTAAATGAGATTTACGACTTATTTATTAATCTCAATTTTCGGATATTTGCTCACTAATTGTTTTATTATTTTATCCGTTATTCGTTTACAATTTTGTATTTTTATAGTTTTTATACTTGTACATTTTTCTGGTATACTTAAGACAGTTTTTGGTGCTATACGATTATTTCCGTAAATAATTATATGCTTTAGATTTTTGCATATATCTGATATCATATTTAGCGAACTATTATTAAGAAATCCCCAACCACAATCTTTAAATGATATTGTTATTATATCCTGGCATATATCTATAATTTCTTCTAAATAAAATTCATCCGAAATAAAATGACTATCTATTCTTTCAAATTCTATCTGTTTTATATATTTTATTACATTCGGTAATGGTTTCTTTTTTACTAATTCTACAAATTTCGTAATATTGTATCTATATAATGTAATTCTTCTCCATATTAAATATGTTGCACATTCATTCCATCGTTTATTAACATATAAAACTGATGATAATAATTCATTAATAGTATATAATATTTCATTTTGTGTTCGTAAATATTGAAATATTTCTATTATAATTTCATTTGGAAGATTTATATCAGATCTTTTTGGTCGTTTCCTTTTTACTGTCTGTGAAGCAGGATACTCTGTATCTAACTTTGTATTCTGCTCTTTATCTTGTATTTTTTCAAAATCCGGTAAACTATTTGTAATCAAATTTGGAATTTCTGGGTAAGGTGGTTTCCATGTAACAGATATACAATTTTTTATAACGCAAACTCCTCTTTTCTCGAATTTTAGCTCACCCATTTCTATACCTGTTTTGAGATTTACTTGTCCTGCTACTATAAATCCGTCTGTATGAATGCGCTTTACTTGATCACCTAATGGTCTCACAATTTCTGATATTCTTTTTCTGGCTGATGCTAATAGAAATGGTTTAATTCTTGAATGAGCTCCATAATTTTGACCATTTCTTTGTTCGCATAATGCTCCCCATAATGAAACTAATAATGCTTTACTGCTGTTCCGCCTTCTTTCTTAATATTGTATAGTATATTACCCCATTTTCCAAACATGTCTTTTCCTGTTATACGTACATTTCTTTCATAAATAAGTGCATTTGGTGATTCATTTATCAAATATACTTTTAAACCATTTCTTTTAGCACTCTCTAAATCATAATGCGTGTAAATCCCATGTGGATTATATCGCAAATATCTTGTACATTGAAGACTTTTCTTTGGCGGATTTCCTTCTATTGTTGCTTTATAAATTCCATATGGAAATTTAGTCCATTTTTCTACTAAAGATACATCTATAGTATGAAACTTACCTGATGCAACAGGCCATGATGCTTCTTTCTTTAACATTTCATATATATACATCAAATTTACATCATATTGAATAGCTTCTCCTTCATATTTTTCTGCAAATATTAGAGCACCTGTTGACGCTAAATCTATCCAAGCCTTCTCCTGTTCACTTATTCTTTCACTTTTTTAATGGTGCTAAAGTAGTTTCTTTGAAAAGTTTTATAGTTATTAATGTATAATCTCCTGATTTGCACATATCAATTCTACCATTAGTTTTTTTAGAAATAGCTTCAGACTCATAAATAATTCTTGTGTATGCTCCTATACTTGTTTCTCTATTATCTGCTTTAATAAAATAATATTTATTATATAATGCATGAAAGTCGTCTTTAACACCATACCATTTTCTTTTTCCATTAAAAAATTCAAACCCATTTGATATATTTTTAAAAATTAAGATAGTTTTATTTTGCTTTGTAGTAGATCTTATCTCTGGGTCGACAGGCAACACATTTTCTTCTCTCATCTGGGCTGGCTGATGCATCGGTTGGCTTTCATCAAATGAAATGAGATCATTTTCTAGAGCTGGTGCTGGATTTTAAATGGGTGGATTTTCTACTGGAACTGGGTTTTGCATTAAACGCACAGCTGGCAAGCACTGCCCCTTACGAAGGTTTCCATTAAAATTTATA